GGACGTCATGCTTGGGAGTGTGGAGGGAAGACCCTCTATATGAGATGGATTGGTTTAGTGACTGGAGTAATGGGGGTAGGTGTGTTGAAGACAGTGAGATTGGCACAGGATAGAGCAGGGTTTAGGGCTGTTGTACATAGGGTTGCTATAAGTTTCAGGCAACTGGATGGCACATTACAACAATAATAACTAGACTATAAATCTCTTTGAGATTGAGTTGGTTTATTTTGTGGTTTAATTCTTCAGCATCTTTGTTGAGTTTTTTTCTGGAAGTTCTATCTTTTCTTGAGAGTGATGTATTGAAGTCTCCAACTACTATAATAGTATTGTCTATTTCCTTTTTCAATTTTGTTAATGTTTGTTTATATATGCCTAAATATTTATTATTGTTACATCTTCTTGTTCTTGTTCTGTTGACCCCTTAATCGTTATTTAGTGATCTTCCTTATCTTTTATGATGACTTTTGCATTGAAATCTGTTTTATTGGAAATTAATATCACCACTCCTCCTTTTTTCTGGTTACCATTTGCTTGGTGTATTTTCTCACCCTTTTATTTTTAGTCGTTCTTTATCTTCATTTTTCAAGTGTGTCTCTTGTAGACAGCATACTGATGGATTTTAGTTTTTTTATCCAATCTGCTACTCTTTTTCTCTTCAGTGGTGCATTTAAACCATTTACGTTCAGTGTGATTATTGAGAGGCAAGATTTCATTGATATTATTTTGTTGAATTCATTTTGGTTTTGTTGCTAGTTGCTTTGATCCATCCTGCTGTCTATGGCACCTCTGTAAGAAGGACATCTCTCAGTGTTTCCTGTTGTGCTGGTCTTGTTTTTACAAACTCCCTTAGGTTTTGTTCTTTTTTTCCTGGGAATATCTTGATTTCTCCTTCATATTTGATGGACAATTTTGCTGGGTATAATATTCTTGGTTGGCAATGTATTCTTTGAGTGTTTGATATATGTCATTCCATTGTCTTCTTGCTTGCATGGTTTCTACTAAGAAATCAGCATTTAATCTTATTTGCTCTCGCTTATAGGTTACTCTTTCTTCCTCCCTCACTGCTTTCTGAATTCTTTCCTTATCTTTGGTTTTGGCAAATTTGGCTATGATGTATTGGTGTTTTTCTTTTGGGGTCTGTTCTATATGGTGTTTTCTCAGCTTCTTGAATATATATTCTCTCATTCTTCATTATGCCTGGGAAATTTTCTCCAATAATTCTCCTGCAACTTTTTTGGTGCCTTTGCTCACTTCTTCCTGTTTTGGGATTCCGATAATGCGCATGTTATTTCTCTTGATGGTATCCTACATTATTCTTAGGTTTTCGTCTTTTTCCTTCCTTTTTAATTCTGCCTTTTTGTTCTAGCAGATCAGTGGTGACAATTCTATTTCACTGATTCTGTGTTCCATCTTTTCAACCCTGTTCATGTGACCCTCCATCATGTTGACAGCACCTGAAACATTGGTCCTCATATTTTGGACTGTGATTTCTTGTTTTTCCAGAGCCTCTAATGCCTTGTTTGTTTTGTCTGCATTGGTTTGTTTTTTTTTTAGCTCCTCCTGGTTTTTGCTTGGGGTGTTCTGTAATTCTTCAAGTTTGTCTTTCACCCATTGAAAATACTCAATCATTGTTCTTTTAAATTTCTGACTTTCTGGCTTCAGGAAATCCATCATTACTGTATCACTTTAGGGCAAGGTCTGTTGTTCATAAGGTTGTGATGAGTCATACTTGACTCAATGACACCTAAAATAACAAGTTAATATGAAGTGATAGGTAAATGTGGTTTTATTTCCTTGATTACTAAATGGCATTGAACATCTTTTTATCTGCTTATAAGCCATTATTAGAATTTTCTCTTTGGAGAAATGGGGGGGAAATCTTTTCCCCATACTTAGTTTGATTGTCTTTTTCTTGCTGAATTTTAAGAGTTCTTTTAATATTGTTAATACTGTACCTTTGTCCACTTTGTAGTGCAGATAGTTAACATGCTTAACTACTAGTCAAAAGTACTAATCAAAAGTCCACTCAGAAGCTTCTCAGAGGAAAGACCTGTTAAATGATTTTTTAAAATCAGCTCTTGAATACCTTGTGAAACAACAGATTCTGCTTTGGCACATGTAACTATGGGCCAATTAAATATTTAGCCATGGGAGTCGATTGTTGTTGTTGTTGATGGTCATCGAGTCAAGCACGATTCATAGTGACCCTATGAACAAAAGACCTGAATCTTTCTATAACTATTGTAATTTCTAAAAGTTCATAGATTTTCCAGAGCCATGTTGTTTAGGAAGTGGATGCCACTCCTGCTTCCAAACTTGTCCTAAACTGGGAGCTCCACCAAACAGTGTCTACCATGGGTAACCATTATGGCATTGTGAACCCCCATGGCACAAGGGTCAACATCACAGCAACTCCAGGTTATCTCAGTACAGCAAAGTGACAGAAGAGTGCTGTAGCACTTAGAAGAATGTTTCTCCAAAATATCATAACAACCAACTTTTAAATATAAAGAACCCCCTCCACAAGGCCTTGCTTATTCTAAAAAAGAGGATTAAATAAAAGACAACCAATATAAAATGTTGTTATGTGCTATCAAGTCGCCCGTGGCCCATAGTGACCTTGAATCCTTCCTTGTCCTGAGCCAGTCTCGCTAATGCCAACACATTAACCTCCATTGCCCCAGTTACTGTATCAGTCCATCTCATCCAGGGTCTTCCTCTCCTGCTCTGTCCCTCCATCCTTCCAAGCTTGATGTCCTTCTCCAAGGACCGGTCTCTCCTGGCCACGTGCCCAAAGTATGTGAAACAGAGCTTCAAAATCCTAGCCTCTAAGGAGAAACTTTGATTCACTCTCTCCAAGACAGACTTACACGTTTTCTTGGCAGTTTATGATAGGTTCAAGGCTCTTCTCCAGTACCACAACTCAAAGGCATAAATTCTTCTTCTGTCTTCCTTAGTCATTGTCCAGCTTTCTGAAGTATAACAAGTAATTTTGAAAACATGGCCTTCATTAGGTGTACCTTTGTCTCTAGACTGACATCGTTGCTCTGCAGCACTCTGAAGAGGTCCTTGACAGCAGATTTTCCCAATGCAATTTGTCTTTTGATTTCCTGACTGCTGGTGTGTGAAGAGTGTTGATTATGGAGCTGAGTAAGCTGTAATTGCTAACAACCTCTATCTCTTCTCCATCTATCATGGTACTGTCTATTGGCCCAGGAATATTCTGTAAACTTTTGTTATCAGAATCTTGTCTGAGATGGTATTACCAAATATTTGTTCCCAGTCAGCAGGTTCTCTTTTTACCCTGTTGGAAAAAGTTTTTGATGCACACAAGGATTTAATATTTAGAAGGTCCCATTCATCAATTTTATCCTCTTCAGATTGTGCATTTCTGGCTGTGTTTGGCAATCTCTTTATACTGTAGAGTAGGGCTTCTAAACTTGATCCCAGTTTGTCTCTTATGAACTTTATGGTTTTGGGCTTTACTCCCAGGTCTCTGATCTACCTTGAGTTGATTTTTGTATATTGGATGAAATTTGGATCCTGTTTCAGCTTTCTGCAGGTGGAAATCCAGTTTTGCTTGTACCATTTGTTGAAGAAGTTGTCATTTCCCCATTTGATAGCTTTGATTTCCTTATCAAGTATCATTTGACCATAGGTAGCTGAATCTATTTCTTGGTTCTCAATTCTGTTTCATTGGTCTATGTGCCTGTCCTTGTACCAGTACCATGGTTTCTACTGCTGTGTATGTAGTAGGTTTTGAGGTCAGGGAGTGCTATGGCTCCCTCCTCATTTTTGTTTCTCAGAAGTGTTTTGCTTTTTTGGAGCCTCTTGCCTCTCCAAATAAATTTGACAATTTTCCTTTCAATCTCCTTGAAAAATGAATTTGGAATCTGGATAGGAAGACTCAATATCATGAAAATGTTCTGCATAAAACTTAATGACTGCATGTAACTTAACAATTCATTAACATAGTTAACTGGATAGATTTACTTTTATTTCTGTTTCTTTTCTTTTTTTAAGAATTAGAAAGAAATACTGTACCAGCATGTTAAAATAAAAAATCATGTTGAACGGAACATCGTAGTCACAAAAGAGTAAATACTGTATAACACTGCTGTTCTAAAATGGGACAGACATGGGGAAGGAATGGGAAAAGAGATAATGAACTCAGCAATAGAACAGATAAGGGGAAGAAATGTCCAAAAGGAATATATGAGTAGGCATTATATGTATGTAGACAGTCTGGAACAATTGGTACATTTTGGGGTGAGGCTGAGGCAGGAGGAGCGGAAGATAATGTGTAATAATGAATTTAAAATTAATGCAAAAATTAATCTCATTTTATTAATACATACTCAAAATACTCTTTGTATACTCAATAATATTTCTTCAAGTTCTCAGGGCTGACAGTGATAGCAGGCTGTAGTCTCTGCCCTAGAGAAGCTGGCAGTCCCAAGACTGAAAATAAATGGGTGATTACATGCCCAGTAACAAGGCTGTGAAACAAGAGTACACTCTGGCCTTCTCAAGTTCTCTGCCTTAGATTTAGCCCTTTCCTCTTCTATTCCACAGCCAAAGATTAGTCCTTTTTTATTTTGAAAAAAAGATTAAGTGAATTGGCCATGAAATTTCCTGAGGTTGTAGAGACTGAAATGAAATGACTTGGATTTTGGAGCACACTAGGAATAGTATTTCCTTTGAAGCAAAGGCTTCCTTCCTCGCAGCAAGTCACTTTGAGGGTTTTCTACCTTAATGAGGTTTCAGATTTCTGTCTTCCCTATTTATTTTCTCGAGATATGAGTGCTTCCTAAAAAAAAAAAAAAAAAAAGAAATAATGTTTTACATATTCTAAGGTTGATTTCTAACTAAAGGCAGAAAATAGTCTTGCTTTTTACCTACAAGTTTCATACACTCTGCCCCCAACACCTGCAAATGAATATCAACTTTCTTAGAAATTGAGAATGCTAATAATTTCAATTTTATTGCTCTTCCCTTAGAATTCTCAGTCGTAATCCTCTGACAACTATTGAAGATCCATATCTTTATAAATTGCCAGCATTAAGTTATTTGTAAGTACTGTAAAAATCTTATGTGTCTTGAAATGAGATGTCTCTTCATTTTCACTTTTGTCAAATATTAAGTATTTTTTACTTAGGGCAAAAAGTCATAATAATAATTTGGTTATTAAATTAAGTTATTGACAAAGAAATAAATTAAAAAAGGATGAAACTGAGCAAGACAGAAGCAGAGCAGTGTTGAAGAAAGCAGCAATATTGTACCTACAGATACATGTAGAAATAGAATTTATTTTTGTTTAAAAAGAAGAGATTGAAATATAGGGTCCTGATGAGGACAAGTTGGGAGAGCAAAGGCCTAGAGCCTAATAAAGACATTTATGAATGAGATGATTTGTGCCCGTACATGCTAGTATGCTGGGACTGTTCTACTTTGTCTCTGTAATCTCAATCTGACCATTAGCAGGACCACTTTTTGCTCTCAGAAGTATTCCGGTTGTGTAATAAATTAGTCACTCACTTATGGAGGATGATCCAGTTCTGAGGCCATGAGTCTGGGCAAAAACATGGGTGCCAGGGTCCTGGGTGGGGTGTAAGACTAGGAGAAGGGTTCCCAAGCCTTGGAGGGCTCTGTGTTGTCCATCTGTCTTTTCTCAACACTCAGCAGCTAGAAACCGGTCTTCCCGGGCTCTCAGAGCAATTGCAGCGCACTACAAAGGTGTGGACCAGACAGTGTGTGGCTGGGAGGAGGCCAAAATCAACAGCTCCAACGAGCTCGGCTATGACCGCCAGCGTGGGAAATTCACACTCACTCGGGCTGGGCTCTAATACCTGTACTATCAGGTGCACTTTGATGAGGGGAAGGCTGTCTACCTGAAGCTGGATTTGCTGGTGGATAAAACCCTGGCCCTGAGATGCCTGGAAGAATTCTCGGCCACAGCTGCCAGCTCTCTGGGGCCCCAGCTCCGCCTCTGCCAAGTGTCTTCTGGGCTGTTGTTACCTCTTCGGTCAGGTTCCTCCCTACAGATCCTCACCCTCCCCAGGGCACATCTCAAGGCTGCCCCCTTCCTCAACTACTTTGGACTTTTCCAGACTCACTGAGGGGGCTCTGCTCCTGCAATGGTTCTCCTAAGTTTCTGGCTCCCCACTTCCTCCACTCCTAAACAGCTCCTCACTCCAGGCCCCCTCTCTCATAGGCCTCAGGCTTGCTCACTTGTTGCCATCACACATACACAATCCTGTTATTCCCTTCCAAAGGCCTACCTTGGGCTGCCTACTCCACTGGTTCCCAAAGCCCTGGCCTCTCTCCCATTTATCTCCTCCAACCCGGACTGTGGCCCCCCAGAACACTGTGTTTACTCTATGGGGAAGGATGGGCCCAGAAGACCCTTCTTCAGGTACTCAGAGGTGCTGGACCTGATGGCAGGAAGCCAAAGAGACTGGGACTTGGGATGAGGTCAAGTGTCCCCAAATGTGAGGAGGAAGAGACCAAGAACAGCTCTGCCCTATGCGTCCCTATGGATTTTAAAACAGATATTAGTTTTATTATTATTGTGACAAAATATTGATAAGTGGATATTAAAGAGAATAATTAATAAAAAAAGAAGAGATTAAGATCTTCCTACAAAAAGAAAAAGCAAAGAATCAGAAGAATTTAATGTCACATAGAAGTTTAAAGAGTGATAATGGTAAAAGACTAGAAATTCTACCATTCTGTGTAGATATCGTTAATGTGATACTATAAATAATGTACATTTTCTTCAAAAAGAATGCTCTAGAACTACTTCTATGGAAAATAATTTAATCTGACTTGTTTTATAGAAAACCCCAAATTGAGTAGTTACCTGTTGTTAAGTATCTTTAAAGTTGAGAAGCTTTCTGTTTGGGTTCATGTCATAGACATGTGGGCTTTCTCCTTCAGAGACTTGGGAGCAACACAAGTGTCCCTCAAGACAGTTGAGAACATCCTCCCAATGACGCTTCAATTGCAAAAACTGTAAGTCTTTTTTTCCCCTTAAATTTGTTTTAACTTAAGTGGGGAGTTTTTTTTATTTTAATAAATTGCTTTAAAAGTAATTTTATTCAAGTCCAGAAATCTGTTTAAGAGGGAAAATTATTAGGTATTTTTTTCATGACAGGAGTCCAGAGGGAAGGCTGTATAGTGGAGTGGACCTGGGTGGAGGGATTGTAAAACAATGAAAGAATTTTTCTTTTACTTTTGCAAGAGGGTAGTGT